GASAWATMWMARMKWTTTTCATGTTCCGAAAGCAGTGCGTCACAAGGGAGTTCAATTTAAGAAAACTTGCAGAAAAAAATAGGAGAAAAGTGGATCAAAAATCTACGGCTAAAAACAGGAGGTGCAGAAAGGAACAATGCAACAGTTTGCAGCGACCACTTTCTAACAGGTCAGGATCGTATAGGTTAAATCATATYGTCAGATATTTTCCTGGATAGTTACTTGAATTTGGGTTTACAGAAGCTAAATAAATTATTTGCAAATAGATCCAAGCACATAGAAATAACAGGAGTTAATTAACTTGTTAGCAATAGCATTGTTATCATAGGCTAACTACTTAAAATAGCACAACTCACCCAGGCAGAAACAAGTCAGCGGTCATTTAAAGTTTTTTTTTTTTTTTTTGGATCCTAAATGTTTGACCCAACCTGAAACTAAATAATTGTAGCTTTGAGGCTTTTGAAAGCTTTCATTTGGCTCGTCATAGCCTATAGCATGAGGTCTGCAGCACCAGACAGTAATTTATGTTGATCGCCTCAACACCGGGTAACTCCTCCAGATTATATAACAAGGCTTTTTTTTTATTAAGATAATATGAATCATATTTTAAATGTATGCACATTTTTTGCGATATCTTGTCTGCGCCAGCCCATTTAGGGCATTAGCGTACTGCTGTGATCCATTTCGCTGTGTTTTGAACCAGAGCAAATAACTTCCTGCCCCACCATCAGACATTCACTTGTCATCCAGGTCATGTGACTGCAACCTAGCAATAGCAGCAGATTTTCTTTAATAATCATCTGTGTTTTAGACTATAATACATTAAACATTAAAGAGCTCCTTTCATTCAGACTACGGTTATGATCAACGTGGTTTGCGTGCAGATCAGCGCCCTTACAAACTGTTTCTTCTTGTCCGTGGACAAACGTGTCATCTCCTCTTTGTCCGCCTTCATCTCCTCCTCGTTGTACTGAAAGTCCCGCACCGTAAACCTGAGCCCGGACACACCGCAGAGAGACGGCAAATCAAACAAACGAGTGCTTAGAGGTGCGCTACCCTAACACACAGATAATAAAATATACCAACACAATACAGAGAGAGTCTGTGGTGCTGAGTGGAGTGCTCCCAAAATTAGGCATGATGTAAAGAAAAAACACTTCAGCTGTTATTACTGATGCTTGTTTGTCCACAGTGGATGGATTCATTTGACACAATAGAAATCACTGTACAAAGTTTTTTTTTAAAGCAAATACATTGTGTTTAAAGTTAAAACCTTCAGCTCAAGTGCAAAAAATAAGCTCTAATTTATTTAAAATGGTCTTTTTAGTGAATTCAAAGTGTTTACTTGTTTTCTCTGGCCTTGTGTTTGAAGTCGTCCACAGCCTTCCTGAAGAGCGTGACGCTGTACAGCCCGCTGTCGTTGTCTTCAAACAGCAGCCTGCAGGGGAGGAGACGTAACRAGGGAGAGCAGCTGATGAATAAATAGTAACTTTACACCCTGTTCTTCCCTGCTGGATGAAAACATGGCTCATTATGAGTAAGCAGGTGTGACACAGCACAGGAATCCCATCCACTGTCATAAACACTAAGACAAGCACGCAGTCTGTGGCTGCTCAGCTTCTTACACCCACTGTTTGTTTAACCAAGGAGTGACATCACCTGTGGCTGGCTGATGGCCTGGCAGCTTAACGCCAGAGTTTCAAACGCTCAGAGTATGTGTTGGGGATAACTCTCGGCTACTATCACAACAAATTTTAGCTCAATATCTGCAAAATGGTCAGAGTCATAGCCATTTTTGTGTTTGCCAAATTCAACTAGTTGAGGTGAGCCTCTTGAGGCGGAGTGACTCCAAAAGTTTATCAGCTGTAGAATTTCATCCAGCGACTACTTTCTGAGAGTTTCATCTAAATCTGTGCAGCGGTTCATGAGATATTTTTCTAACAGACAAACATATTTACTAATTGAAACATCATCAGGCAGTTGAAAGCAAACCAGTCAGCCTAATTTAAAATCGCTTACTTAGTGGAACGTGGCACAACCATCTCCGCAAGTGTTTCGTACGTCTTCTGCCAGTCAGCGTAGCTCGTCCTGAGGAGGGGGAGGCCAAACGTTATTCTTTTCCTCGAACCGATTGATCGTGAAAGATCAAAACGACATCTAAAATCAAAACTTTTTCAAATCTGCCACAGATTACAATTTCTCCTAACAGTTTACTAAACAAAATAAAAATGTTGCAGGTTTTCTTACTTTGGGACGACCACCAGCATTGTAATCAGGTACTCAGAGTCCAAAACAAAGTCCTCTTTCTTCACAATGTCAGCAAGACTCCTGGTCAACAAACTCCCCCTAACAGGAAGACAGATGTTAAGAAAAACACCTGAAATGACTATAATGTGGGAATAAAAGACTGGAAGAAGACAACTTTGCAGTCAGGGATGTTAATTTATTTAACAATGGAAACGATGAACTTCAAGTTTGTCCTCAAAGAAAAGATTTTTTTATAAAAGACAGATTTGGTTTCTTGAACATCTGCTCTCTAGAGTGAAGAGGATTTTTTTTTGTGAATCTCAAACAAGTTTGAAGCAATTTGCTAAAATTTGTTCAACATAAACCAAGGAACTTTGCTGTTAACTAGTTTAGAGTAAATAAACTAAAATATGTCCTAAGATATCAGTGTGAACTACAATGGCTTTAATACAGAGAAGGATGGTTTTTTATCAGAAACAATAAAAGTTTGCTTTGGCAGATAAAATAAACTGGGTGTCTGTTTTTTATGTTTTGATTCAGAGGTTAATTGAAATTTAAAAAGGTTTCTTAATGTAGATCTGGTTGTAAGAGAGCACTATTGACCCTACACTTCAAAAAAAAAAAAAGTCCACCTAACCAAGTTTTAAAATCTTATATCCAGCCATAAAGTCGTTTTCATCTTGTTTTGAGACTGATTTACTAAACAAGAACTGATTGTATAAAAAATAATAATCTTGTTTTCAGAATGTGTAAGATTATTTGTTTTGTTAGTCTGAAAATTTGACTCAAATTAAGTAAACCATTTCTGCCAATGGAGTAAGAAAATTTTCCTTGGTAAGATTCTTGAAATACTTGATTTGACTCATTTTTTTCTTATTTCAAGAATCTTACCAAGTAAAATTTTCTTACTCCATTGGCAGAAATTTTTTTGACWTAATTTGAGTCAAATTTTCAGACTAACAAAACAAATAATCTTACACATTCTGAAAACAAGATTATTATTCTAACACAGTCAGTTCTTGTTTAGTAAATCAGTTTCAAAACAAGATTAAAAAGACTTTTTTTGCCTGGATATAAGATTTTAAAACTTGGTAAGATGGACCATTTTTGCAGTGTAAATACAAACTTATTTCTGTCCCTCCAACAACAAAGAAACAAGGCCGTTTTCCATGAAATCTAAATTAAAACCTTGTGGTTCAGTCATTCACTGAAAACCACCCGAACACAAGCCTTTATCACAAAAATAACTATTAAGAAAATAAAAGGCATTGACTGAATAAAATCCTGTTTGCACGTTTACTCACGCATTCTTCCTCTCCAGATTCTGCAAGTTTCCCTTCAGATTGTTGTAGGCTGATGCTCTGGCCTTCAGGTCGTTGTCTATCTGAGTCACTTGCTGCAAATCAATGAGAAAAATGTGATTTCCACAATAATGTTACAAACAGGTTTGACTCTCAATACTTAATAGCAAACATCTCACACTTAGAGGCTGTGTTGGATTGGGCTTTTAGCAACAAACATAATGTCTGTTACCAAAAGGTAAATTAGCATAAAGGCGAGCCAATCTGACCCATTACCTTGGAGATGATGTCGGCGATGTTTTTCAGTGACTGTTTGATTGGATATTTAGCCATGTCCCACTGAAATCTGGTGATATAGGTGACCAAGTCAACTAAAGCAGGAAAAACAAATAAAAGCCATCGGTTTTTAAAGTTTTCATGTCTTCGTGTTTTGTGATAACTGCGGGAACGTCTACAACTGCTTAATTACGTCAACTATAGTTTTTACCTCCATTGGCCAGAAGATTCTCCTGCACTTTGTCCCTGCTGTCCTCAAGAACATCCGCCATGTACTGAGCGACCTTCCTCACCACACTGAACGTGACAGGAGGAGAAACAGAAACAAAAAGAAAGGTTTTAATCAAAGCTGTGGTTTTTTTTATTACTGCTCAAAAAAAAAAAAAGGCAGATGTCACCTTTCCACRAAGGTGGATAGCTTAGCGAGCTCATCCGACAGACCCACCAACACGTCCAACGTCCCGACCTGTCAAAGGCAAAACGTGAAGTAGCTACAACATGATACCGTTAACAAAAAAAATTGGTTTCTACATATGATGGTGGCTGTCCTCGAGCTGTTTGTGTGTCACCTTGAGGTCGGGGATGTTGAACTTTGTGTTGGTGGACAGGTTGTTGGTGCGGGTCGTGGCCACCATCAGCTTGTCCCAGGTCTGCTGGCAGGTCTTCTCCCCCGGAGCAGAGATCAACCAGAACTCTGTCATGGCTGCTGGCAGAAAAAAATACTCGATGTCCACCCAACAGCTGATGCAAGGAAGTCACTGAGGGTGCAGGAAGACGGGAGGATAAGAAAGTCATGTTTACAATAAATAAGTTAATTCACTGAAATTAACTTAATACTATTATTTTAACCATTTTAAAAGCTAAAACAGTCTGCAGTGCACTCTACATTGTAGTATAAAACTTCTTCTTCCCCTTTTGACCTTGATTTTCCCGATAATGCATGAACTTCCTCACAGAAAAGCACAATGTCTGCAACACTGGTGACTGATGGTCATATGATCAGTTACAAGCAGTAAAAATTAAACAAATAAAGATCTTTAACCATAATTAAACAGCATGAACTCCACATGACTCACAACAGCTGCTTTTATTCCTCGGATTATTACCACTAGCAGCGGGGAAGAAATCAATGACATGCAGCTAAACAACTCAGCTAGCTTGCTGCTGACTGACGCTCGGCTTGTTTATCGTTGCGGATCACGACGCTGCCACGACACCGACACCGGGGACATTTAGGATCTTACCGATGTGTCTGATGGCTTCAGCCTCTGGTTCACACGGTGTACTTCAGTAAAACACCAGCGGCTTCCCATATATGAGGACCAAAAAAATAACAGGACGGACTTGGAGGTCTTTTCAACGAAGCATCATTCGCTCACGGTCAGCTGATCAGGAAAAAAGCTCTGCGTTTGCGCAGAAGCTCAGTGCGCACCTCTGCTGTCACGTGATCGAAAATAGCCAAAACTCCTCGCTACTACTAAACTATAATTTCATGATAATACATCAATTATATTATGATAAATATTCATAAACTATAATAAAAATATATATTTAGATCCTAAACATATGAGTAAAGTGTATAACTATGGAAGCCCATTTCCGCCACCCTGATAAAAAAATAAAACTTGAATCTCATAATTATGACTTAGCTATCTCATTATTATGAGATACTACCTCATAATTATGACTTAGCTATCTCATTATTATGAGATACTATCTCATATTTATGAGATACT